GATACTTAAATTGCTACTGGCATTTCTTTTACCTAACAATACGTTTGCGCTTCTTTGCTACGGACTATCCACGTTTCACGCCTTGCTTATATCACGCTGGTGAATAACGACTTCCATACTTCGCTTGAGACGTCTTTTGTTTCGGTATGTAGCACAATTGCAATTACATCATTAGTAAACAATACCAATTGATGTGATCTTGATCGCTCACATCGTCCACCATGTCCAAAAGATTTTCGCGTAATCATACGGCAAAGACATCTATGTAGGCATAGTTCTTCATGGACGAAACTTCAGTCACTGCATAGGTACTCGTAGCCTGGATTGGCAAAGGAATGTGCATACCTTATCAAAGTACACGTGTCCAATAGTCTTCCTGTTCGTACGTGTACTGAGTCACAAATGCGTCGCCTCTACTTCCAAAGACCTGCCCGCCAATGAATTGTAGCAAGCAGAGCCGCTTGCCTCTCGAAGACGCCCATATCATCCTCCTATTCAGGCAGCAGGTCACTTACCCACGTCAATGTGCGGGTGCAATCGCTTTCCTCCAGCTATCAGTCAGCATGTGATAGAGACATTAACGGTATTGGAGAGTAATCTCTCCAACGTATTCAGCCGTATATGGTTACATTCAGCCGTACGTCCCGCTTCCTAGGCTCCCGCTTTAAATGGCTTACCGCGGCTATGATAGGTCAAATTTCGCGAGCCTCATCCCGTAAAAACAACTTTTAAACGACGGAAAGAAAGAATGCACATCTCCGTCCTATATTATTGGTGGGACGGCTGCTTCGCTGTGCCGTCGCGGCACGAACAGTCCGCCCACGTTCTTCGCTTCATTCGTCCGCCATATCGGACCACGCAAGAACCTGATCGTAATACGTGCCCACCCAAGGATATCAGGCCAAGGTACATTCCCCTGCTCAAAACAAGGCATGTGGCACATTCCTGTCCACGTCGGGCGGGGCCGTAGGGCGATGATCACCGGCACGACCGCGCGCGCGGAGCTGAATGATGCGCATATGCCGTATGGCATTGGTCACGCGTGCGCATATGTATTGTGGTGGTAGGTTCCATACCACAAGTAGAAAGACCTCCTACGATAAGTGGATCGGACTGCCCTTCCCAGCCCTATAAGGCGGACGCACTGTTATTGGTCGCAGCGCCAAATACGTCCTGCATCGCTGGTGAACATGTAAGACGGGAGCTAGATGGTCTTGCATGCCGTGGTGGGTCGAAGTGGGGTCGACGGGCCGTTGGAACTCCATCGATGTGGCAGCGACGACGCCGTGCCACCTTCTCCTATATCTCGACCGCTTCGCTGGAGCAATGAGCAAGTCGGGAGTCGGATAAGTTCTATAAGGATGGAAATCGTATCCCACTGCCAATAGTTTCCGAGTGTCACTCCGACGGCTCATCTCAGATACGATACCAATAAATACACTGCTGGTGAGGTTTAGCATCTCATTCTAAAACAAGCATGTTGCGCGGCTAGCAATGATCGGTAACGGCTGTCGTGCATCCGCCGGGTTCGTGTGACCGGCAATTGCTCTTCTATCGGGCCGAAGGAAAGACATTGGCCCTTCCCTCGGGATGCGACGCGCTGATTCTGACCAGCCAGGCTTCGCTCACATGTAAGCGGGCGTCCTGCTGATAGCCGTCAACGTGGGACATGTGGAGCTGAGCCCGACTGAGTGGTCACACGGCGCAGGCTGAGTGTAAGCTCGCATAAATCTTGCTACCATTGGCGCAGTTGCCCGCTTGCCTTCTTCAGCTGGTGATCATCGCATTCAAGCTGCGGTTTCAAGAGGTCTCGGATCGAGCGGCATGGCCTGTCTGAGAACCGATATATGCATTAAGATAACGGGAAGAGGAGACAAAATGACCAGCTACCCCCCAGTGAGAAAAGCCGGCAAACTTTGCCTGAAGTGATGTCCGGAAATGAAGAGGTGTACTCCTGTAATCATACGCCCGTGAACTATACAGTGTTGGAAAAAAAAATCCGGTAACGGGTATTTGCAAGAAGGATGAAAATAATAACCGAAAAGTGATACGGACGACTCTCGGCACGAGGGGAACGGGACGCTGTCATGCCACTGACTGCTTTCTTGTGCGAGCTCCGGAGTGATGCATCGCGATCGTGGGAGTGCTTTTACTGCGCAGTTTCTTGACCGAGGAAAGCCACTCCTTAAGCCGATTGCCAGAACTCCTCCGTTGTGTAAGGGGTGGCCGAGAACCAGGCTTGTTCAAAGCATCGGTAAATTGGAGATTGCCCGTGTCGTTGGGTGTCGGCAGCGCTACGGTATGTACCCATGGATTTGCCGAAGTAAGCTGCGCAGTAGTATCGGATCTTGATTGAACGCATGCACCACTTGCGGGATCGGAGTTTGCATGGGATGGCGTTGATAACAAGAAGTCTTCCTCTTGTGTCGGGCCAGGACAATCGCCAACTACTGAAGCATACGTCTTCGTTCCGATATTGTCTGACACTTGCGAGGAGACTCGTGTCTTGACCTCCTGGTGATACCTAGCGCAGCTGATGTGATGCTCAATGTTCGTACTCTGAACACTGTCCTTTCGTTGGGCGGCATCGCCATATTCCACCGGACACGAACATGCGACTTCGACTGGGATAACATCTCCTGGATCACGGTCCTCGGCTTTGTAAGGTTCCTCAACCACGCCAGGTCTATCTGAGGGTGTCTTCGGACTGTCGTCATCAAAATCTGATGTCTGTGACAGCTGCGAGAACGACGTCGATGAGTCGTCGTCACCACTCTCTTGCGGAGTCCTGTGCAGTTGCTGAACCTCCGAACTGAGAGCTGGTTGGGCGATAGAGCGTGACACATCGTCGAGAGGATGATGCACCGACGGCGAGGCAACTGTATTCGGCGTAGCATTCAGATCGGGAAGTGACCCGAGATTACACTCCATCTCGTTAGCGGAAGTTGTCTTGCAGTCTTCCGCAGTTTCGCTCTCGACGAGGCTATCGTGACTCCAGAATTGTGTTGCTCGAAGCGCCCAATCACCCTCAGTGGTACTTGCTATCCCGTAGTGTGCAAGGGTGTTTAGATACAGGCGCTTTTGCACAGCATCTTCCTTTAGGTGCGTCAGGGACCATGCTCGAATCTTCTCTCTTACAGAGGCATTGTTTCGCATGGATGCAGCGGCGCTTTCAGTTTGAGTTCGTCTCATTGTAGTCGAATCTTCAGGTACAGTTGTGTGTGAGTTTGCCGGATCAGAGACTCGTCTCGCCAAACGTGACGCAACCAGCACCGGAAAAATCTCTTGAGCTTTGTATTGCTCCGCTTTGACTCTCCGGGTGGAGAGTTCGTATACCATGTTCCCAAACTCGCTTGCAGAGGTTGTGAGATTACTATCAGGAAGCCCATCTCCTTCCGGGAAGAACACATCATCTCCCTCATCCCAAGTAATAGTACTGGCTTGTGTCTGCCGCACCCTGTCAAGTTCCTTCTTCAAAGTCTCGACCCCTGCCATCATAGCAGCATATTCTCGATCAACTTGAATGAGCGGAGGCTGGGCTGCAACAGCAGAAGTAGCGAATGCCAAAGATGGTGGCGAAGGAGCAAATTGCGGAGGTGGTGGCGGTGGTAGCTTCAAGACTTGACTGGGAGACAACGATCCTGTAGGGCAAGGTGGTATATGACAGAGTGGTAGCTGGTGTGAGGTTTCAAGGCTTCTGCTGTGTGGAGAAGCGAGCTGTTCGTTGTCTGGCTCTGAGAAAATGTTGTTGATATCGAACTGGTAGAATTGAGTCTCGCGGGCGACGAATGTCCATTCCGCGCCAGTGAGGTCGCTTTCGGCTCGAAGGTAGTCGTCCTCCATCTCACCCAGATTATCTCGTGTTTCTCTGACGTCGTTGTAGGTGGCCAAGAGCGCTCTCGAAAGCTCTCCAGGGTAATTGTTGACAAACTCACTCAGCTGTCTCATGAACTTGGCTTCTGCATTGCCAGCATCTATCCGCTTTTGTTGAACCTTGCGGCCAGTTGCTCTCACTCTTTCCCGTTCGATCAACAAGTCTTCTCTATTGGCTGAAAGCTTCGCCTGGGAATCGGATAGGGTGTTCAGGCGTTGTCGATTGAGAACACTTAGCAGATCGAGCTGCGTAGCTGATTTTTCGCCATATCTGATTAGACTTTGCGTCTCCATGACGTCCCGGAGATTGAGTCATGGGCATGCAGACACAGAATTTGCTGGAGAAAAGACTTTGGGCAATTTCTGCTCCCTTGCATAACGTAGCGGTAGCTTCTTTTCGGTGGACAAAGACAGCCCTTAGGGCAATCACATGGACATCAGCAAAGAGCATCCACTCTGACAGTACGTGTTGGCATACGTGGTCCTTGTCTGGCGTGGTGCAGTAGTTAAGGGGTTTCCCAGGTTAGATGTCAGCCGTCAAGGCTTGCGCACGGAAGATGCTGAAGCGGTCCGGTCACTTCTCATATGCGCTGAGATGAAAGAACCATTGAGCAAACAGATCGGAAGCCATGCGCATGTGTGCATCCGACTTGCTTGTCGCACGGATGAAGTGTCGGGTATCAGGCTGACACCAACTGTTTTGATTGGTACCGACCGGGTCGCCGCTTCGCTCGTTTCAATACACGTAACCGCCCTAATGTCGGAACCAGCCGTATAATCCGGGAAACGAGTGAACACTCTCCACGCACATGCGTAATGCGTGAGGAGATGAAACGCATATGCAGACGAGTCTGGAGGTGGAGACAGCGATCGCTCACTCCCGTTGCACACCACACCCTCTCAATGTTCTCTGGCCACAACAGCAGAGCCGCATCGCTCAACACTTTCCAGCTCTTATAAAGTGACGCTAGACTACCGATCATGACGTTAGATTGTTACTCACGCCACCGCATCAATCAGGCCTGTAGAACTCATCGGCGTATTGCCAAAAGCACAGGGCGCGCCGTCGATATTGTAAGAGAGAACTCGTTTGACGCCAGCATCAGTGTCCAGTGACATTGTGCAACATGTCGAACGTCAACTGGGTATGGGACCAGCGATACCAGGATTACTACTGCATCACGTTGGATGCGTACCGTAAGTATTGGCACGTTTTATCAAGCTGAAACTCACCGCAGTCCACTGATCCAAACAGAACGTCCGATATATCACTGGTCTAAACAGCAGGCCCAAGCGGACATCGCCGAACCCCTTCCAAGGCAGGACTCGGGCAGTCAACAGAACAATGGCGCAAACGTGGCCCAGATGCCCGAGCCTGGTATGTCATTGCCCCAAACCTTGTGGCAGGCGTTTCGCCTAATATGTATTTCGTAGCCCCGCAGGATGCTCGTGCACTGAGAGGCTTCATTCAGGGGACGCCACAGACCGGCTGGTATGATCTTCTGGACCAGAGTAAGTAGGTCCCCGGGCGCCCAGCTTCTCGACTGATTTGTGGCACACAGGCTACCGAATGAGGACTGGCTCTGAAGCTCACACTTTCTTCGTAGTCGGAAAGGTTTTCGCAATGTTGTACACTGAGGCTGCGGGAGGAACTGCCCCTGCGTACCCAAGCGACGATGCATACACCATTGTTCGGTTCAATGAAGTGGTATACACAAACATCCGTCGGTTCGTGGTAGTCGCGGTTCGTCATGGCTTCGTAAAAGCCTGGTGAGGACTGTCTCAAGACCAGATATGTTGCACCAGCTAACATAAGCCAGTGGAATTGGTACATATTCCGGGCGTGGAGCCCTTAAAGACGGTTGCAGGCCATCCGAACATGCCATCGTCTACCTCCCCGGGACAGATCCAAACTCCTGCTATATCCCAGGAGAGTACGAAAACGGAATGGATAAGGAAGCCATTCAGATCGAGCCGGTCGCAGCCTCCATCTATCTGACAAGCAATTCCCGCATACGATTCGGGAAAACATACCCCATTGAGAAGAATGTCAAAGTCAAAGACATCGGCCAGGTCCATCCCGGGCACATAGGCAAGCTTCTCCAATATTGGAAGGATGAAGATCAAGACCAAGGCTAAGGCTGGGGCCTTCATCATCCAGAGTGTCGCATGGTGATGTACATCGCCACGCTCGGCCAGGAATTTTGCGCATACGACTTGCAAGCTCGACTCGGATGTCCAGCGGCCCCCATTCCTTGCTCCATCTGTCCTGTGTTCCTTTCGTCGAAATACGTATTTTGTCCCACTCTTCACTGCTTTTTATGATGATGAGTCTTGACGGCCGATTGAACGATTGCGAGCTTCGAGGGCTGGGACCGAAAGGGAAGGTGATCGCGGTGCGGTCGTACTGTTGTTACGATTTCTTCCCTATCACATACGTTATCTATGACCAAATTGGAACCTTCTCTTTCCTAGCCTACGGTGCGCAGCGTGGTGCGACTCAAACTCGCCCTATGATTGTGCCGCGCTTCTTCTAATCTCAATGCTTGCGTGTCGCCATCCGCAACGCTGTTTCACTGGACATTGGCCTACGCTCCTACATTCCAAAACATGCAGGCGCAATCCGTGGACGTGTCGCGGGCGTCAAACTCGACCGTAAGACCATATCGCGTGGTATAGAGGCTCCTCGTGTAGCTAGATCGGCATCGTCGAGGGCCGATTCCTGGTCGATCCAGTGGCTCGTCACGATAAGTAAGTATCATTTTGGTAACGTGTGCAAGGGGCTCGTCAGTACTGCGTGCGTGTGCAAAGTTGCGTAGGTATGGTGGGATGAACCAGGAGCGGGAGGCGACATCGGGAGCTTGGGCGCAAACCTGCAGGGCCGGGGCCGGCACAGTATTCCGTAGAGCCACCATCATTTACCGCTGCCATTGAGGATCAAGCTGAACATGAATTCCGCAACGAATGTGGCATATAAGCGAACGGTACAGTCACGACTTCGCGCTTTAGGATGCTGTCGTTCAGCGCTTATACTAGTGCTTGAGCAAATGCGAAGTTGCCAAAGCCGCGGACGCGGCCCGTCTTTGTCCCCATACTACTGCCCTGGAAACTTATTATGCCAAGACCCTGTCAAGCTACAGCGGTAGCCATCCGCCTACACCTGCACAGCTTGATAGACACCCGCCTCGAATACATCAGGCCCAGATCCGCCCACACCGCGAACTCTCCGCATACGTTTCCACCGAACGCTACCCGTTGTAGCCAAAAGGCACTCAGATAGCTGTACTCCATCTCACATTAGTAGCGATGCAGCATCGGCCAAGCCCATCACGACATTCTGGCCCAGCGAACGATCAAAGTTGCTGGCCTATGTAGGGGAAGTTATTTGATCTGCTCATATACGGAGTGCAACATCTGCGATAGTCGGGAAGGCAGCAGAACGCGACCCACATTCTCTCGCCCCGGGAACGCCCACATGAAAGCCCGACTCAATACTTCGGCCGTTAGTTTCGTGAACTGATAAGGGCAGCCAGAATTCTCGCCGATCGAGTTGGGTCAGGCCATTCATCCGCATACCACCAGGAGGCAATTACACATGCTGAGAAGAAAACCCGCCCGATGACCAGTTGTTCGAAGAGAAGGCGGTTGAAGATGAAGGAGGATACGCAAGGGGCGGCGTATGGTTTTCCTGCTGCCAGTAGCTGAGCAGTGCGCTGATCTGGTCTTCGCGAACTCGGCCAATGTCTTTGACTGCGACGTTCATCTCGATTGGATACACTTTGCCGAATCGGATGCGAGACTCCTTCCTGATACTCACACTTGGTTCCGCTGGCACAACCTCGATTGGCTCTTTAGTCATGCCACTTTCATATTCGCCAGGAATGTAGCATGACGCAGGATCAGTCCCAGATAAGTACACCATTGTGTGTTCGGCTGGGTTGCAACCTTCCTTGAGAGTTCCACGACCAGAATAGGTGCCGATACCACTGAGACAGATTAACACTTTGTCGCGGCTTTTGATAGCTGCGCTGAAGCTTACCAAGCGTTCACGAAGCCCCGTCTTACATCCACGACGACAAAGGGGCGGATATTTGTGTATGCGCTTTGCCCAAATCGTACCACTGTGTATGCTTCGTCGTTGGAGATCGATACAGAATCGTCGCTTGCTGTCTCGGTGTATAGCATGGCAAAAACCTTTCCTACCTTGAAAAACTCTCGCGCTTCGTGACTAGTCCGCATTCGATAAGCTGGCTTGGTGTTAGAGAAAACCTGCGAATGTCTTGATGTACTAACAAGTGTCTAGGCGATCGTACCACCCAGTCTGTGGCGTGCCCGATATGAACCCTTGTAGCGTACGAACGTCTTGGGGAGCTAAAAAGACTCAATCAGTACTGTCGTTGCAGTAAGATGGCTATCTTGTCATACCTGGCTCAGGCATTTGCGGCTCAATTGCTGAATCGGTTCTAGAACGAATGTCTGATGCGGAAGATTCGGCTTTTCTGCCCCAGTGGTAAATAGGGCGTTCTATAACAGTCAGCGTTCGGGTAAAACAGAAGACGTTCCCTAACTGACGGTACTGATCGTATGTGACATAGTAGTAATCCTGGTGTTCGGGGCTCCACGTCCACCCTTGGTTGTTGTTTATCCTGTCGGGCTTTGATACTGAAGATGCGCGTAGATCAATGGAGCGACAATCCGAGCAAGAGAAGCCGATATTGTGACAGATAGCGTCAAAAACTTGATCAGAGGTAGGACGACTCAACGAATCTCTTGCGGTCATATCTATGACGTGACACACAAGGAATGCCAGTTTGGAAGGGATATCGGCAGTTAGAAGTAGATCATGAAGAGAGTCCATGATTCCTGAGTAGCAGGCCTCTTCCGAGCCTTCAGGTTCTGATAAACGGCTTAGCCGTATCAACATCTCAATGAACACGCAGCCCAGAGAGAAAATGTCTGCAGCAAAATTTCTCTTCTCAAACTCAAGTACTTCTGGCGCGCAGTACTTTCGAGTCACGGAATCGGGTGCCCCTTCTGTGGTACAATGGCCATCTTTGTTCGTATCTTTTGAGGCGCCAAAATCAGTATATATCACAATACCCTGATGGATCAAGATGTTGCGTGGCTTGATATCTTTGTGACGTATCCCTCTCTTGTGCATGTATACCAGGCCACTTGACAAGCATCCAAACGCCTGTTCGAGAACTCTGGTCATCGCTTCAAGATTGGTGGATGAGTTCGCGGGTTTTTCGACCAGGTCGGCAAATCTGTCTAGGTAGTCATGCAGATCTCCTTCGTCTGCAGCAGGTTGCAAAAGTAGTCCGCCAGAGCCCGGCGTCGTAAACGAAGCGAATAATCGAATGACGTGAGTATGAGTTCTAAGACTGCGGATGATAGCAGCCTCATTATGGTATCGCTCCTCAGCCTGTTCCCTGCCTTTGCCCTTGCGAGGAAAATTGATAACCTTCTTTGCGAACAGTTCTTTTGTTTGCTTGTGCTCCACCCTTTGCACCACACCGCTATGGCCAAACCCAAGCACTTTTTGGCACTCAATCGGCAAGTACTTCTCGTCCTCGATCTTGTAGTCACCGTCTTGTTCAATAACGACTTCGTCGCTCAGCGACAGGATACCAACCGAAACTGAGACTTCGCTTGCTGCAGGGTTGGCAACCGTATCTACTTCCATGATGAACGCAAGGTGTGATACAATGGGTTCGTGGCGAAAGGATGACAGCGATACCGGCTAGGGCGCTATCATGGCATTCTCAGTAGTGTAAAAGTATATGCCGGGTGGCGGATTTACCTAAATCGCTTGCTCAAGAGCGCGGCTGAGTGCCTGCGAGTGACTCTCGTCGGCCGAACCCACAGTCTGCAACCCGCTTACCGCTCGTCACATCCGGTAGTTGAGGTCGCGCATGCTCATGGTTATGTCATTCGGATAGCCGTCAGTTGTGGATGCGAAGAGACAGGATTCCATCGGGGTGAGCTGACAGCAATGCGGGCCAAATACCGGTGAGCGTGCCGTGCATATGGTGGCGTTGTTCGGAAATCACGTGCACGGTGCCCAATACCTAGATATCTAAGCTAGGTTCGGTATTGTAAAGCAATGTAGTTAGCTGTGAGTGTGCGCAAGGAAAGTGGGAAGCCAAAATAATGCACAGAGAACTGTGTAGACGTAAGGGGCGTGGCAGATCATGATATACTATGAAGACACTGACTGAGCTGGCACGGCCAATCAGATGTCAAATTCGTCTTCCAGATTTCTGCCAATCTTTGCTGAGCTATTTCCTTCCCTTACCCCTCGCATTGAATGTCTTCAAAGGGTCGACCTTGCCATTCCTTCGTACCACTTTCCTGCCCTTGCCCTTGGTATATTGCTTCTTCGCCCGTGGTATGTTCAGACCGACAAAGCCAACATCCTGCGGCTTCTTCCCACCTGGTAAGAGATAATCAGGAATGTGTCGCAAGTGCGGTTGTATTCTGGCGGGATGGTTGAGGGTCTGGTCGTGGCGGAGATGCGCGAGCGCTTCAGGGTTCTCTTCAAACTGTTACGATGTTAGTATGAGCCAGCAGTGAATGATGTGGATGAACTTACGTATCGGGACAGCTTCTGCGACTTGGCCAGCTCCATGTGGATTTCCTTGATACGTGCCTCGCGGATGGCGATCCTAGTCACCGACTTCAGGGCATCTGCGAACCGGTATCGGAATGGCTCTAATCGTTTCATGTCGAATTGGTAATCCTCTAGCTTTTGGCCCTCTTCTTGGTGCTGCTCTACCTTCTTCAGAACCTCCTCATCATGTTCGCATCCAGCAAATGTAGTCGGCTTGTGCTTGCGGTATTTCTCCTTCGGGATGATGAACGAAATGGCCGTGCCAGACTTGCCGGCTCGTGCTGTTCGTCCAATTCGATGGAAGTATGATTTGTAGTTCCCGGGGAAGTCGAAGTTGATTATACAGCTGACGTTCAGGAAGTCGATGCCGCGCGAGACGCCGGAGTCGGTCTCCTTGTCCTTCTTCGCTTTCTTCTTTGGTCGCGACTCATCTTGCACGCCAACGACGTCGGTTTCGTCCGAAGCAATGAGGATCTTATAGAGATCTTTATTAAACTCCTCCACAATGTGTGTTCGGGACGCCAGCGGCAGTTCGGAGTTGAGTACGATCGCCTTGATGCCGAATTGCTCGAGGAAGAGTTTGACGCGGTATGATCGGTCGACGTCGCCAACGAAAACGATACTGGAGGAACAAAGTTAGTGTTTATCTCAAATGTAGTTCATGCCGGCGCTTCTTACCTCTTTCCATGGACCAGATTGAGTTTCATCATGGCGAAAAGCAAGAGAAACTTATCGTCCTCCGCCACCTTCAGAACGTATTGCTTGACCTTCTGTGAGTCCTTGTCGAGGTCTTGTAGCTTCAGTACAACTGGATCTGTGCAGAGCAGGCTGCCGAGTGACTCAACGTCAGTTGAGAGGGTGGCTGAAAGGACAATCTTCTGGACTCCAACAGGAATCTCCCGGGCGATGTTCTCCATGTCGTCTGCGAACCCGTAACCGTTGATCAGATCACCCTCGTCTACGACAAGCGTCTTGATGTCGCTGACTGCCATGGCAGAGCTGTTGATGTTTGCCCATGCCCTCGCTGGTGTTGCGACGACGATCTCTGGTTTGTCCGCGAGTGCTGCCTTGATGACGACATCCGATTCCTTCCCAGCGATGTTGCGGACCCGAATCGATTGTCCACAGTGTTGTGAGAGCGATTTCGCGACTGTCGCGATTTGTGAGCAGAGTTCCTTAGTGGGCGCCAGGATAAGCGATTGGCCTTTCTGTTGCAACGTCTTATGGAGGATGGGGAGAAGGTAGGCTCCCGTCTTTCCAGTACCTGTCCCTGAACGCGCAAGGACGTCGCGTCCCTCCAGTATCAACGGTATGCCTTGGGACTGTACTGCCGTTGGTGATGCCCATTTTAGGTCGCGGATCGCTCTTAGCAGACGGGGCTCGAGTTGAAGTTCGGCGAATGAGGCGACTATGGGGACTGGCTCAGCGGCAGGTTTTGACTTAGAGCTCTTCTTCTTCTTCGGTGTGGCAGCGGTTGCAGTCGAAGGCGCAGTTGTGGTGGATGTCGCGGGCTCGGGCGAGCTGCGGGGCTCGTGTTGCGACTCATCGCTCGATGTCACCTCTGGCACGTCGTGTTCGTTGAGTTTGCGCTTCGCCATCGTGTCAGAATTTGATTCGAATCTACAGTATGTGGTCGCGTCGTTGTTCGTCGAGGTTTGCGCTGCCTGCATCTACCAGTTCTGAACTTTTTTGGCGCTACTGCCGGGCGGCCTTGGCACGCCCCACAGCGGAGGTGCGCCTGCTGAACGCCCTGCGCCGGTCGCGACTTCCATCACACACGCGACTGGAAATAAGCTGCAGATGAACATGTTGGTATCACGGAGCTGTATACCGCAAGTTATACGGCGCATATGTCCAGTGCTATTGCTGCTCGGCGTTACTTGTATGTTATCGTTGATCTTTTGAACATAGACATGCGCCTTTTAGAAGCCGCGACACGAAACATTAGCCGTCATTCATTTCGACAAGAACGACCAAGCATGACCTCGTCAGCCCCCGCTACAACATTCAACTCCCGATCCCGATTAAGCCCTGATTTGTCTTGCAATAGTCGTCGCATGTAGCCTAAAGTTCTTCGTTAATAGATGCCAGCAAGGAGCACACAAACACTTACCCTAGGCATGCCTCTTCTGCCGCCATCCTGCACCATCTTCTCCAGAGCTACAACATATTTGGTGATCTCTTCGTTTCCCAGCTTCTTCAAAGCCTTCAAAACAGCATCGATCGTTCCCTGATCAGGTCCTTGGTCGCTCGTACTCATCAGGTCGATACCCGGGGGCGTTTGGGTGAACTCCACTGCCGTCGAATAGCTCGCGTAGTATGGGACTCTGTTCGCGTCACAGCCCCAAACCAAGATGCTGTATTGGCAGGTAGCCCCGGCTAGGATTCCGGTTGCTGCAAAGTCCAGCACTGCTGGCAAGTAGGGATGCGGTGTGTCGACGCCATATGTTGTAATGATTGTGTCGTTGCCTGGGAATTGGAATGAGAAGAGGTCGTTCACCAGTCCATTGGGCTCAGAGGGGTCGATCGGAGTCGGGTCGTATTGCACGTTCCGCATCGCAGCATACTGAGGGTTTGACGCGAGAATCATTGACCATGGTTGGAAGTAGAATCCGACAGGTGGCGGTCGCCATGATCCGCCGTGATGGGCATGATCGGTGGTATTGAACGTTGGAGGTATGCGAACCTGTACGCCTTCCGCACCCACCTTGCGCGGACATCCGTTTGGGTTGGTGTGCGCGAGGGCACCGAGTGCAGCCGCGAGTATCAAGATGGAAAGCATGATGCTGGAAGTAGTCTGTAAACACAAAGAAAGAGAGCTCAATACTTTTGGGTGTATATATGTGACATCCGGAGCTCCCGCTGACTGTCTGCCTGAATAGGAAAGAGGCCGGGGTAGTTGGTCCTGGTCGTCGTACGTTGGCGAATGGACACGCCAACCGAGCCGTGCGTCGGGTCACTCGCTCCTCACCGTGCACAACAAGTACGAGGTATTCCCAATTCTGCATTCAACGAGTTTGGCATTTGCGCTGAGATGTTTTCCATCATAGTCCCATTGTGGAGGTGTTTTGACAGCAGCCAGCGTTAAAGCAAACCGAAGCCCACCTAGGTATTGCAACACGCATGTCGGAGCATTAAGCGCTCACTAGTGCGACACCTTTGTGTGATCGTGAATAAGCCGAATGAGGCACAAATTACGAGTTACTCCTCCATGACGCGACGCTAATACAAACATCTCGTACATGAAACAACGAGCCTTCTCGTAGGTTTAGAAATGTTCGTTGCAGTCGCAGGGCGCAATGTGCCGATAGGATCTCCTTCGTATCAATATGTTCCGCTGCTCTGGATCAAAGATTCGACAGACTTCCGCAGTTCTAATGACCTGAACGCGAGAATCCGTTGTATACCTAGGTTTTAGCTCTTCTCATCCGCGCACGAGTTTTGGGTTTTCTCTCAATAAAAGCCGGAGTGGATCCATGCTGTCCTCACGACATTGTTCGTGTTGAGTAAGTAGTTCCATGATGGACTATGGCGGCAGAGAATGGCGGAAAGAGGGCCCGTGGATGCCGGTTTCAAGCTTCATTCGCCAGAACATGCGCGAAGGGCGACAGTGACAGTTTAGCTGAAGCTCACTCTCGAGACAAACAAGCACGTACTGTATGTGTCGAAGCTATCGAGTAACGACAACATTGCGAAGATGCAGGTCGATCATTACCGTGGAGAAAGCCGGGGTCGTTTCCTGCAAGCCGACTTCGGACTCCACCGCCAGCGTGTGCTCATTGGCTACCACACCATCGCTTATCTTCACTCTCCCGTTTACCTCATCGAAACCACCAACCCCAACCTGCCTCCAACATGCCCACCATCTCCACGCCCAGACCTGGTTCAGTCTGTCCAAGCAAAAAGTCACACATATCAGCCACTCAGGGCTCAGCAAGAAAATTTCCGCTGAGCCATTCGGTCCTGCCCGCCACTACGAGGCAAGCGCGATGCACCTCCGTTGCAAGGCCGTTCGTTATCAGCATAGGCGAGCGATCATGCAACGCCCAGTCGGCTAAGAGCTGAAAGTGCCC